TAGTTTAGTTATAATGTATTTAATTTAATTTAATGAAATTATCGAATGCGAAATACTTCCTTTGCGAAAGCATTAGTGCGAAAAGTTTTACGATTTTTACTATGGGCAATTTTCAAGAAAAACCAGTTATTGTTTCTCAGGCTCAAAATACTGTAGAGAATAAAGTGAATAATTTTCAAATATGGTTACATGTGATAGCCAGTTTTATGGGAGCGATAATCCTGTACACTATTTGGGTAAAGTTTGATAAGAAGTTCAAAAGCTGGCTTCGCCGTCATGTGTTAATTGCAGGCGTTCCAATATCGGGCCAGAATATGGGTCAGATGATAGGTGCTTCTAGCACCAGTCTGCAGCACGCGCCCGGCGGGCAGCCGCCCCTTTCGCGGGGGTCTCCGTGCAGCCCTGCGCACAAGCGCATTAGCAAGTCTTTGTTGTTAGTTTTAAGTTTTGGTTTATATTCATTGTATAGTTTTAAGTTTTTTATAATTTTTTTATAAAGGGGGAAGTATTGTAGGTGTGCTGCGCACACACATACACGCATGTATACTTTGCAATATTGTATCTATATACTTAGTGAATAAGATTTTTCAGTTAGTCACTAGTTGCCCGCCAACTGTATTGCACGTTCCGCTATAATAAATATTAGCAAAAGATTTCATCTTTTATTATGGTCACCAATAGGCACCCCTATGGAGTCAGCTCCTAAAAGAATAAAAAATTTGCTGTTGCCAACCAACCTGCAAACGTGGTAACTATGCGTCAATATATGGGGAAGGCTTAAGAGTGGACTTTGAAAGGCTGTAATGACGATGATGATGGCGGTTACTGTTTACAATACTTTATTTCATTATACGTAAGCTACCTGAGTTCTAAGTGGACGACGTTTGAAATGAATAATCGCAATTCTCCTACACCTTTAAACGAGCAATTCTTATTATATATATATATTTTTTATATATATATATATATATAATAATCGGAATCTCGGAAACGGATCCAACGATTTTCATAAAATTTTGTGTCCAGGGAGTTTCGGGGTCAATAAATCGATCTAGCTAGGATTATTTTTAGAAAATGTCCTTTTGTCCGTGTTTTCAGGCAATAAAAAATCTGCTAACAAAATAAGAATCTGTTAGTCGGTCGGGCATGAAATCGAAGTTCCGTGATTCGCGTCGTGTCTCTGGTCCGGCTTTTTTTTTTCTTTTTTTTCAAGTTTCCTTTTTTTGTGAGAGAATCTATTATTTCAAGCCCCTTTTTTAGTATTTTTTAAAAATACGAAAATTTTAAGAAAACTAATTGCACTGATGATTTTTTATTCAAATAACCAGTTCAGTTTTTTTCTATTCTGTCAATAAGACCAAAAAATATTATTTATGTTTCATCAGATTGTAATTTATAAATGTAATTTCAAAAAAAAAAAAAAGCAACCGGGTACTAAATACTAATATGTCGTGATTGCCTATGAAACACGACAGAAGAAATTTCCTCCGCCATAACACTTTTATGAAATATGACAAATGAGTGTTGTTACTTTGCTTTACTTGTTAACATGATTTTTACACCGAATTCTTAATTATAATTATGAATGTTAATTGAGGATATCGTTTTAAAATGAGAAAACACGTTTTATTTTAAGACTGGCAAGGACGAGCATACATTACACAACACGATCGTTAACAGTTATTAAGAGCTATTAGTTTTACGTCGTTTTTAGGGTTTACACAATTACATTTAGTTGGTAAGGTGAACAACACTTGGGGGCCATAGGTAGGAAGAATGTTGATTTTAAATTTGATGACAAAAATAAAGAAAATAATGTGACATTTAAATATTAAGAAAATTTATGTGATTTTTTATTCAGATTATCTTTTTAGGTCGTCGAGACAGTGGAAAAATAAAGTAAATCATGATCATAACGAAAGTACTTTTTCAATACGAACGAAGTAGCGGGGACATCTAGATTCAAATAAGTAGTGGTATGAACAATTAGGTACTTTTGTTTTACTCTGTACATTATGACAATGATTGAAAAATATGAAAATATGAATGATTGAAACTACGATTTATTAACTTTACGCGAATAATAAATATTAAATAAGACTAATTTTCTGGCTTTTATCGCGTTTAATTTTAAGTTTTTAATTCTCCACGTTTAGGGCGCTTTTCAGCATCCATGGTTAACGGGATGTGGGACTGAGGTAATTGATGACCTGATGAATGTTTGATATTCAATGCAAAACGAAGGAAATCCGTAAAATTAGTTTATTCAAAATAATCAAACCTTTAAAATAGTAAAAACCGACTTCTAAAGCTACAAAGAATGTAATCACCAAAATCGGTTCACGTGATAAAGAATTATTTTCTCATCTATCGTGCAAATGCCTTTGCAAATTGTATTCATTATGTTGACTAAATTTGTATGGGATCACCATTGAGGTAACGTCTTAATATCAAAAAAAAATATCGCTGTACATACATAAAAATACACTCGTTTGCAAAAAGTCTGGTTTTGTTTTGTTTGTTGAAAAACGTTAATAATTTGAACATGTTACTGAACGGTTATAAAAGTACTGTGATGTTTAAAAAAATTACGTTCCAAATACAAATTTTTGCCTGAGGCTGGTTTTCAAAAAAAAAAAAAAACAACTCTTTAATACACCTTTTAGCGCGAAGAGTTTTTTGGCGGGAACTTGGCCGTCGACGGATTGCCGCTCCTGTTTTGTCGCTTGAATAATGGTTTGAAGTGGATTTTCAAAAATGGTAAATAAAGTGACAAGAGCCAGCAAAATTATTGCTCTGCTTGAGGAGGATTGCAGTCAATGCTTTGTGCCTAAGAGGTGATGTGTGATTCGTTCAACAGTCCAAAGGACCTGGCAGCATTATCAAGATACCGGTTTCATCAAGAGTAGGTCTGGTTCTTGGAGACCATGTACTGAAACATAGACACAAGCGGACTGGGATAGGGTATTGTTTTCCGATGAAGTCAGGATATATCTGTAAGGATTTAACGTCGCCGTCGTCGGTCAACGAGTACTAACAAGACGAAGAGAACATTTCGAGTACCTAACATTTCTAGTACCTTATGATGAGAGTTCCTTTATGTTTTGGGCAGGAATAAATTCGTGGGATCGTAAGTAGTTAGTCTTCATCAAAAACGGCATACTGACTCGAGACCGAAACATAATGAAAGTTTTAATTCCTCAAGCACAACCAACATTTCTGTATCCACCGGTTTGGTGATGTGGAAGCATATATCCTAAAGGTTGGATTCGTCGTTTGGATTGTCAAGCTCGACTCCCGAACTAAATCCCATAGAGAATTTGTCTGGGATGTTCTGAAGCGACCAGTGCAGCTGTCAGTGTGTGAGATCAGTGCAGCTGTCTCCGCAGGTACCATCAGAGAGCTAAAGAATGTGATTACCGCGGAGTGGGAACGTATTTCGAAAGAAATCATGAGAGATATACTCGCCCAGACGAATTCAAGCTGTGATTTCAGCATGAGAGGGTCACGTTCCATACTAAACTTTATCTGCTTTTATTTTATTAAAAATAACAAACAATAATTTGTGTTACCATAGCACTTAGCGAGCAGGTACACTAATAGCGCTTTGAAATTTAACATTTTTTTATATAATGGGGGTGACGAACGAGCACAAAGTCCACCTGACGGTAAGTGGATGCTCTAGCCCATAGACATTTACATTTATCTTCGATAATCATGTGTAAATGTGTTATCACCCCAGAGGACTATGATGGAATGCTTCTTTTCCAGTAAAAAGGGATTCCGCTCTCTATATTCACCATACGAAACACAGCAGCATTAGATTGCAATTTTACGCTGGTATTCTGTGAAAGCGTGGTCCTTTCACGGTTGTGCTGACTCATTTATGCTACAACCATAATTAGGGCGCAGCGTCGCTATACACCACGTAAAATTTTTCGTCGTCAATTCAATTTATCATAAATTCAATTAAAATATTATGATGAAACTGACGAAAACTATTCTTTGCTTATTTATTGACAAAATTTCGAGTATATGACTATCTACAATTATCATACAATCTAATCATCATCATCATAATCACAGCCTATAAAAGGATCCATGGATTGCATAGATGCTCTCTCATAGATTGCCTAATATGGGGGATTTTGCCAAAGTTGACATGCTTGGCGAGCGGGTAATCAACCGCAGTTTTAAGCTATTGCATAGCTTCTATTGCGGGCCTTGAGCGCGGGGACCGAATCCAGAAATTCCGTAACGAAGAAAACCTCACGCTCCCCACTCCGACGGGCACGGAGGTGTGGCGTTCAAAGCCGTGCATCGTCTAACGTCGTTTCAGTTCGGCAGACTTCGGCACTCGGCAGACTTCGGCACGGTGTTTGTGTGCGTGCGACTAGACGTATGCGTGTACATTAGCTGCTAACTCAATGATAAAAATTCCTGAATAACCTACATGTATTGTAAGATATTAAAAATATTTTAAAAATATTAACTTCTCATTTATTCAATAAGAGAAAAAAAATTGTTTTCTCTTCGGTCACCACGCTCAAAAAGTGTAACTTGATTTAATATCAAAGACTTAACTGCATATATATAAATAAAATAAATAAATAATTATAATTGCATAAGTTGATAAAAAATGCTATGCAATAGCTTTACCGCGGCAGTTACCGAGTGCCACACGTATTTTTTAATTATTTTAAATTGTTATCAGGAAGATGCTGCTGCCCCTCACCTCTTTCAATTTCCCTTCGTCGCCTCTTACGACTTACCCGTAAGAGGCGACGGTGTCCGCTTTTTTTTGCAAAAGATTATATTTCGAGTCATTGAAAACCTCGTTTTCTTTTGAAGTTGGTTAAAAATAAAAGTGTTAGTGATTTTGCCCAAGAAATTTATTTACAGATTTTGTCTAATTTACTTATATATATAGGTCTCTTTTGTATAATTTTTCTCACTAATTACATACTCAATTGGAATATAATTTTGAGTCTAATTTAGAATCAGTGATAATGAGCACGTTTGTACTCAGTCTCGGCGAGATTTTTCAGGCGTAGGTGTTCTAAAAGAGCGTCGTAATTTTCGAACTCATTCTGTTCCTTCAAGTGAATACCTTTAGGAAGAATAAGATACTGTCCACCCGGACCACGAGTGTAGTCACGACCTCCAGTTTTCATATATCTGTAGTCCAAAATTATCGTTGGCTCATAGTAATCAGGATCATACGTTCTTCGAATAATTCTACGGCAAAATACGAAGTAAAATTAATTGACAATATCAATACGTAAAGATAAAATTAATAAATAATATCCATGCGTAAGAGGCGACTACGGGATATGCCTGAATTCAGATATGGCTTCCGATAAATGGCAACTTTATTCAATCGAGTCATAACGTTTACGCCTGGTGAAATAAAGCAATATCAACGGTGCATAAAATTTGCTAAACCTCGCGTTGCCGATCCACTTTCTAAGTGCGACGATTAATTCAAAGTTTATGACAGCAACCAGGTTCGGCATTTCACTTATGCGTGCTGATGATGAAGAAGAAAAACAAGATATAAAAGATTTTAGCAATAAAATATGCCTTTAACAATAAAATATGAGAATTCATAAAACAGTTATAAGCAAATCTTTTCTTTAAAAATAAATATATATTGAAAATTCTTACACATTTTGGCGATTTACATCAGGTCCATTATCCTGAAACAGTAAATTTGTCAGTAAAATACTTGTACAACGTATATATTTATATATCTATGGACAGCTTTTTCAATCATCAGATAAAAGTTATTTATAGAATAAAATATTACATAAAGAAATTACAGTTATAGGAATAAAAATAATTCAATTTTACACTTTTAATGATAATCAATCAGCATAATAATTTATTTGATTGATAACTTTTATCCAACGATTGAAAAATCGAGTATGAATCTTAATAAAAATAGGGCGGCCTCCAATTACATGAGTGATGATCTGATAAGACAAGTTGGAAAAGAAATTGATGCATGCAGGTAGCTCAGGATCGTGTTTTGTGGCATTCCTTAGTAGGACACCCATGTTGAGTAGTGGACCTGTAATGGCGTACCGACGGTGATTATGATGATAAAATTAAAAAAAAAAAAACAAGAATATTAAAAATATTATAGATCTATTTACAGTTTATTGACAACTAAATGAAAAAGAACCCACGACCTTCTGTCTCGTGGGTGTTGTAACGACGGTAATAATCTATTAAAGTAAAAGTTAATAATAAGTAATATCTGTTTATTAATAATGAGTAAGTATTTTAATAATATATAGTGTTCGTTTAAGTCAATATATTATTTTTATGTTATTTATTGCCTTGTTGGTTTAGTGGCCTTCAGTGCGACTGCTGATCATGTGGTTTCGGCTTCGAATTCGGGTCGGTACAAAATCCATTAACCGGTTTTCTACCATGAAATTCTCATTAGCAGTCCGGAGGAAGTTGGCGGTAGAGATTATATTTAGAGAATGCACCTGTGCTTTAAGCATACGCTCTTACACTATAAATCTTGTCCTGTGCAGATAGGTGGCTAGTCTCCGTTGAAATTGGCTGCCGGGTCCTAAATTCAATCTGGCAGACACTACAATAGTATTTAAGGTTATGTTACTGAATATGTAACGTCCACTTAAGGGGTTTATGTTATCATGTGTTAATTTTTATTAAGCTTTATATTTACTTTTATTAAGGTTTATAAGCTTAATAAAGCTTTTTTTAAGCTTTATAGATGTACAATATTATTTATCATAGAGTATAAGTTATCACGACTTCTATGAAAATTGAATGTTCTTACATTGTGTTTAGCAAAGTGATGAGAGTGGGTGGAACGCAGTACGGGAGGGCCTGGAAGTGGTTCTCCATCAGGGTGTTGTTCAGTGGAATATTCATCATGATGTATACGATGTGGGTTCGCAGCAGCTGCTGGTTCCTGATCTTGGTCTGCTTTAGCTAATGCTACGAAAAACGCAACAGCCAGGATCTATAATCAGACCAAGAATAACTACTGGTAAATTGATTTTGTTTTTATATTTGTTACACGTAAAGTTCTGCGTAACAATTAAACAAAACAAAAAACAATGAAACAAAATTACTCAATAAATTTTATATATTTCTTACAGCCCATTAAAAGTCGTAAAACATAGAACTGTTATATTTTCTTAAGCTAAAATACCGCTATGCTCGTTAAAACCTAAATCGAACACGGTCAATAAGAACCACATAATATGCTACGGAGTGTACTTGCGTAGCACGAACTATATATTTATATCCAATTTTTAGTTGCAAGCTATTTTGAATTTATAAAAGTGTTTTCGGTGACTCAATTATTCTAAAAGACTAACCTAACTATTCAAGATTGAAAGTCGACATGTTTTAGATCCTTTGTTTACATATAGGGAATATAATATACACCACCTCCCACTGTCCAATAGTACAATTTTCTCCTAATTTTAAGTTTGTCTCAAAGAGATCGCTTTTTAGCGATAAGACCGCCTTATTGTGCCTACTTTTTAAGTATTACTTCCTGTAATCTGTTTTTTGTCGTTTTGTATAATAAAGTATATATTATAATAATAATAATGATAATAAGGAAAGTTCATACAAAATAAATACAATATAACTAAAATTTTATCCAATTTGATTAGAAACTGTAAGTACTATGCCACTGAGATACATTAGGACAGAGAGACAAAAATATATGTAAAAAAACCGAAATACGTGAAACAATTTATACTCCGAACCTAACTGTTTTGCCGTATGATGTTGGCGTAAATGAATTCATAACCCCATTTCATACCATTGGAGCCGTAAAAGGTGAATAAGGGAATTTTCAGCAAGCTGTCATGGCTTCCGATAGATTTTACGAGATAGAGCTATGCTACAGCTATAATATAGCTGCAGCCTGAATGAGTCGGCATAACCGGCGTAAAACAGCTAAATAAGAGTGAATATAGAGAACCGTAAACCACTTTTATTGGTAAGGAGGCATTCTATCTTAGTGATCAGGGATGAAAACGCATATGAGTTTTTGTTCCATATCTGCCGGTACCTCTAATATCGCAAATAGACATTAGGTGATAATTTACCGCGGGTTTTGAAAGAGAGTATTGTGAAGTATCCAGAATGTCCTAGTAATTATAAATCTTACAAGGACATGCAAGGGCCCTCTATACGAACTGAAAGGATGCGGCGGGCTCCGCAGCTTTGAAATTCTGTTAAATTTCTATTTTTTATAGTATAGGGTTAGGTGATCATAAACATCTGCACACCATAGGGATTCTTACTGCAATTCTAAGTTTTGTCCAAATACTAGAGACATAAACATGGTAACAGTTCATCTAAGAGCTTTATTGAAATGCTTCTCAACGCACGTAATATTATAAAACATACCGTGTCGTCCGTCCCTTTATTCGCTTTCTTTAAACCGGATCATAGCTGTGGATTTCCAGCCAGTGAAAAAATATAGTTTAGTTAATGTTAACAGTTTGTACACATACCTAACTTACTTTTTAGAAATTGTTTCAAATATATTTTTATTGAAATAGAACTACATACCTAATTTTAATTAGCAAACTTATTATATTTTAAAAAATAGAACTAATATACTATTATTGTAATACGGAAATATATTTAGTGCAATATTTATTATTTTAATAAATATCTTCTTCACGATAAAGAATAATCCAAAGATATTTTATAGGTTCTGGATTATAAGATATTTTATAGTGACCCATTAAACATCTTTGGAATAATCTAATTTATAAATGTTCCAGGCAGGAGAAAATGTATATTGTACTTATTATTTTACTTTACTTACTTGACGCATGGTAACCGTTAAACTCAAAACACAACTAACTGTAAGCGAATAAAAATCTGAGTCTTCCTTTTTAATTATTAATAATTCCTATGATCTCACCGGATGTGTAGTAATTTCATTGTACATCTATCGCGCAAGAGAAAATTTAATGAAGGCCGTATAAAGTAATGCATTAAATTACTTGTAGGTACTAATTACAATTACGTACTTAGTGATTGTAATTGAGATTTTTTTAACTAGGATTAGGGTCGTTGCCATGAAACCTACAAAATAGTTTGGTCTCTGTTTTCGTAACACGACGTTTTACCTAATGATATTAGAAATACTGAAACGGAAATGATTTAACTTTTATAAACAACTGTCACCAATTTTTAAGAATGGTCATTCATAACCATTTCAAAAATTAAGTTTGTCCGTCTCTCTGTCTGCCTATTCGGGCTAATCGTCGGAATGGCTCAAGTGATCCTAATGAAACTTCACGAATAGAGGGAGAGAGAGAGAGAGAGGCGATAGAGAGTAATACCAGGAGTGATCTAGACTATATTTTTTTACGAAAACTTGGAGATTTTAAAAAAATTGATAAAATGTATTGTAATGGTCATTCATTATTATCTTAAATCTAAATAATATCATGTTAATAGATTCTACTCAGGTGAAACCAGGGCGGCCTGATTAATATGTTTTTAATAACGAATATTTCTGGTCCTACTTGCTTTAAATGATGCTTGATTGTAAAATAACCTTTTTATTTAACAAATATTCGATATAAATTGACCATAAAAATCCTTTTAGGCATACATTTTATTGTATACTACCACATAGGCACAAAATCTTAACAAGAGATAAATTAAATTAAATTAATTTCTAAAACTAGAAACACATGAAACACATTTGGTCCAGAAGTCCTCACGTCAAGATGACTAACCACTTTCTTTCTAATTTTTCAATCTATTTAATGGAGCACCAAGTATTTCACAATAATCCATTGGGTGTGATGCGTGATCTCGTGTATCCTTTCAGTGGCGACAGTATTTTTGCCAAGTGTTGAGCCAACTTATATATTGGTGAATCGATCTGGCTCTCTATGGGATGTAGTGGATCGTTTATTTTGTGTATTTTGGGTAACCCATACAACCTCTGTATTTCCACCGAAATTCTAATAACACAAATAGTCACACTGTGTATATTTAAATGGTAAATCTCACTATCACCCATCACATTTGACTACCGTAGGAAAATCTTTGACGTAAGCCAGTAGCCTCTCACGCCTTCATAACAGTGACCTAGAGAAACTAGTCACGGTAGAGCTTGCGTGCTTCGTTACCATACATCATAGGAGTCACAGACAAGATGGGCTACATTAGTGAGCTTCCTTAAAACCTTAATACAAGGCGCTAAAGAAGATAGGTTTTACAAAATGTAGGATTGTGCAAGTTTCATGTGGGCAACAAAAAACAAACGAAAAGAACATTGAAGATCTGATTAAAGACAGAATATAGCTGACGTGAAGCACCAACGCTCCGGGAAGTCTGTAGTCTGCAAATATGTTCATGATCGTCCCCGCCATTACATCAAATTTGATAAACCACAGATCGGCAAAGAATTTTTGTCAAGTATAATTCACGATGTTATTAAAATATTTAGAAAAAAAACATCGAATTATGTTTTTTTTCTAAATATTTTCAATAAAATTAAATCCAAACTCAAGCATACTACTGCAAGACTTCAAGATACTGTAAACTCGTTCTGCGAAGATTGGACCAAAAATTAATATTCAAAAGCTGAACGTAGCCCGGGTTAACCGTGACAACGGGACGTCAAATACATCAGTGTCTTCCTTGATCATAAGTGCTGTAAAGTACCCAAAACGTCGGAAATTGAAATAAGTTAAACGTGATCAAATCCTTAAATTTAGTTTTATTCAATCCTACGATTAAAAAAAATATTTTTAACAGGGTTGTTATTGTCTTACCTGCAACCGTCTCACTCATACTCGCACCGACTAAAACCCTACTAAGGTGCAGAGAACGCAAGATGCGCCTTCCTCCACAACTTCTTATGTCACTTGCACAACGGACCCCTCCTAGTCTGATACGCGAAGGCCACGGAATCCGGAAAAACGAGGCCTCGGAAGTAACAAGTTTTCCGGATTCCAGTTGCGGAGGATAGAGCGAGCGGCGCAGCGTCACACCAACACTCCCTTTCCCCCACATCACTCCGAGTGGGCTCGACAAGAGCCTACTCGGAGTGGCCACCTCGAGCCACCATATAGTTTCCTCCGTGTTCACCGTGGATAATCAAGCTACCGCTTCTAAGCTCCCCCTTCTGCCAAGACAAGGCCCGAACCTATTTTATGAAGTGGGAGGGATAGATGACAATGTTCGACAATATACGTTTGAGTCCATCTAGATCAGTCAAAATCAATGCACAGAATAATTTAAAAAAAGATTAAGACAAGCAAGTCACCTTAAACATTTTATTCACCACCCAGTTCGTGGTTAGTTAGTACTCAAAATATAGTTGAAACAAACAGTTTTAGCTAAGTGCTCGCGGGAGGTCAACTTAAATTTTCCCGTATCCTGTAAAATTTTATATTCCCCGAGTTACCATGGCTTGAGGAAAAACATAAATTAATTATAATTTTGAACAAATCTCCTATACTTCTATCTATAAACAGTTTTCACTGTGTGGTGGCGAGATTAGAAAGTCCACCACCTCTTTTTGTCACGTAGACGAAAAGACGTAATGTAGAAATATAAAAATAAAAATGCTTTTGGCTGATATGTGAAAGTACCGTAATCCGTCGTGTAGTGGCGGTATAAGAGAACCCATTACTCCATATCATCTTTGGGTGTCGTAAGAAGTGAAATGAAGCAGAGATGGGCAAACGCAAATATCCACCTATTTATATAATGCGTTTTATGGGTAATTATATTCCGCAGTGGACTTTTCATTAGCTGTAATGAATCGATGATGGATAATAAGTGAAGGTATAGTAGGTATAATAAGTTTAGTACGTTTCATGCTCCTCCCCACAGATTGTCTCCTAGTGGGGATATTTGCCGTAGCTGCCTCGCTTGGCAGGCGGGTAAGTAACCGCAGTTTTTTTTTAGTTGTCATCTGGTAGATGCTCCTGCTCATCTCCTGGTTTGGCACAAACGCCCGCGTAATTACAATGGACTCTTTACATTGTGTTACAACTGCTACGAGTATAACTGCGTAGTTAAATTTATCAAAGTAATCTTTAATCATGCCCTAAACAGTAAGAACTGATCATAACGCAGTCGTAAAATGCTGAATAATTACTTTGAACGCAGATAAGAATATTTCCAGCACATGAAAATAAATAATGTTTTATTAGGTTTAATAATTTTAACGTAGTAATCGTTGCATATTTAATTTAGAAGTAATATACCAACTCCACGTAAATTTGGCACAGAAGGAAATACGTCGCAGCTTGTTCGAGAAGATCCAGCACAGACTATCAGGCTGCGCTGACCGTGACCGTGGGTGGTTGTAAGAGGAGGTGCTTCTTGTTGAATTCACTGGCGTTCCTATATATTTAAAATAGCTAGGAAACTAAGTTTTGCAGCATACGTTGAAGAAATTTTAGAGACTTACATGTGTTTTAACAACTAGATTACTTTATTTTAGTTATTTTCATAGTATAAAGTCATTATGTAATCTTGCTACCCACTGGTATTGAAACCTAGGTCCGAAGTCTCTTAGAGAAAAAATTAAAGATCTACTTATATTTCTTTGGCCCTTCAGTATATTTAGGAAAATTTAATGTATATATACAAAACAAAATGTGCATTCTGTAAATACTAGGAATAAGCACAAGTTATTTATACCAGTTATTTCCAAAGAGTCGGTATTTCCTTTATTGGGCAAAGGATAGGTCCTTTGCCCAATAAAGGAAATACCGACTTAAACGTTTAAAAAGCAAAAATTGTTTTATAAGTGTTATTATACTACTAAAGAGGACATGAGTTTATCGCTACCATGCTGTTACTTAGTTGTATAAAATACTAATGTTCAATAAACAGGCCCGCTAGGTTTCTTGCTGGTTCTTCCCAGGATAGTAGTTAAATAACTTTCATTAAGCATTCTTGTAGTTTATGTTGAATATTTTTTCTTCTATGGAAAAAAGGAAATAGAAAATAAAAACACATTGGTAAAGTTGCGAAATATATTTCTAAGGTTGAGTATTGTTAATTTTTTTTGTATATTATATGATTTTGATAAACCATAATGCAAAATGAATACCCTGTCAAGACAGTGGTTCTGGTAGACATTCTTCTGTTGCTTGAATAAAACGAAGACCTTTACATTAATTCCGATGGTGAGAATTAAGTTTGTCTCCATAGTGCGGCCGATGCGATTTAACGTTATGTATAATGGGTATATGAGGGTATGGATGTCTGTCTTCTTTTTCACCATGGTGAAGGTGATAGCTGTCAACATGTTGTTCATGGTGATCGTCATGTTCATGATTATATTTATGGTCGTTTTCATTTCGATCATCCTGATGTCGATCGTCACGGTTATTATGTTTACGATGTTCATCATAATCACGATGAACATAATGGTCGTTCTGGTCACGGTGGTCATAATTTTCATGTCCGTGATGTTTATCATTTGCAAGTTTGTGTGCTTGGTGTTCTGATATATGACGTTCTTCTTCATAGGATTCTGGTTCTTGGTGCTTATAAATATGATATTCAGGTTCATGATGGTTTTCATCATGATGCTCATGTTCGAGATGTTCATTCTGCTGTTCATAGTATTCTGGTTCCTTATATTCGTGTTCTTCATGTTCTTTTCCATGGTGTTTTTCAACATGGTGAAGTTTAAGTTCATAGTGCCCGTCATGTTCATCTTCGGAGTGAGGTTCGGGTTTGTAATGAACAACTTCAGGATGTTCTGATAGAGGTACATGATGCAGTTCTTCTTTATGATGGTCTTCTTGGTCTTTATGATCGTTACGATGAACATGATAAATAGGCTCAGAATATTCTACGTGGGCGTTAAAACTGGAAAAATAAATAAAAATAAAACCACATTTAATATGTTGTCGTTAAAGTATTTGAAAATTATTATTTTGTTGTTAGAATTTACAAATGTTATAGTAACTATATTACAAGTGAGGAAAAATACTGGGTATTTGCACTAGTTATATTAAATTAACCTCGGGAACTCGTGATTTTAATAAAAGATTGGAATAAATTACCCGCTGTGCTCGTCGGCGTGATACTTGACGGTGCGTTTACGACCATCGGGTTGTATGAGCCAGTACATCCCCTTCATTTCGTCACCATATCTAGCTTCATGATGACCTTTATGGTCATGAGTGTGGGGATCATCAACTTGGTACGAGAACTCATATGATGGATACGACCAAGCCTAAAACGAAGAAGTTATTAGTTATTTAGGTCAAGTAGGATGTAAAACGATCAAGTGTACCTCATGGTAAGTAGTAACACCTATATCCTAAATCAAGAATCAAAATGCAAATACGGCTGAGGATGAAGGCTGGTTTACATTACTTATCCCACAAAATACAGAAGTATTATGCCGCTATTTTACTCTAGTCGAGCTGCTCTATTTGGTTTGAAGCCATAAATAGTTGCGACGTAAATTGATAGATCCAAATTATTGAAAGAGAAAATAGGTCTTTTTGTTGTGACTGACGTTGTATCCTAGTAATACCGATCGTGACGTATCAACATTATATCGAAAGAGCCCATCTACAGAGGTGTTAGTACAGATCAACGTACAGTTGTAACAACTTAATATGTTTTGCCTTATGTAATTTGGCAACTACCTATCACATTAGTTCATGTCAAATTGTTGATAGGGTCGACGTCAGCTAGGAGAATATTAAAATAAAGGTGAAATAGTACTACAGACATGTCCATCACGATGTCTATCACGCAGAGAAACTTTAAGCATAGCCTCCATAGCTCTCTGAGCGACCTTGAACTTTCTCTTATGGCTAGGAGTGAATGACCACGTCTCAGATCCACACTCTCGTTTTCAAGTTTTGAAGTATATGTAATGAGAAGATGTGTCATAATTCCCCAAACGCTACTCAGTCGAGTTGAATTCGTCGATTGACCTCTCGTGGAAGTTGGCCTTACCTAGTTGGACAATTTTTCCTAGGTAAACACAAACATTTTCGTCAACAAGTGCTCCCAAAACTACCGGCATAAGTGTGACATGGACGTTATATGTTACGTTTTTCTTGTTCTTGTTCATTTAAAGAGACACTTCGAGCACAATGAGCGTGCTGATGAGCGATTCTGCCATAACGACAATGTCGTCGGTAAATCAAAGGTGAGTAATGTTCTTGCGATTAGTGCTGCTGCCGTTTCCTTCATATTCCTGTAGCTTGAAAATATCTTCCAATATAACATCACCCTTAAGAGTTACACCTCTCTGAAGTTTCTTACACTTGTTTTGTACTCGATAGCTATCATAGCTCTATGTACTACTTACACAGTAACAATTGCACAAAAACACTTCAGCACTTCGATATACCGAGATTAAATGGCACTGCTCAAAGGATTGTTGCCCAAATTTGGACAGAATTAAAGGTTAGGTCCACTTTTAATAAGGAAAGTGTTCATAAAGTGTCTCTTCCTTCTCCATGAGGTTCACCAGCTGTTGACCTCTTAGACCTTATTTTAGTTTCTCTCCTGTACTTAATTTTGCGTAAACGCATTCTATTAACATCATATAGTGGGTTTTGCGAAATGCATGGCTCTAGAGATATCAGCATACATTTTCGTCCTCCATCTCCATTTATTGGCTTTTTTCCGGCTGTCGCCTCTTACGCACCCCACGGGACAATATGTGGTAGCAGTTATTCTAACATCTTCGCTACACGGAACGCTTCCTTTAGCTTTAACTATTACAATATACTTACGTATTTTTTATGATCTTCAGGAGTATGAGTTCCGACGTGTGAAAGTTCACCATAGTGACCATAATGTTCGTTAAAATAGTGTTCATGTTCATGATTGTTTTCATCATCATACTCATGCTCGTGATGTTTATGATTTTGCTCATGGTGCTCCGGTTGCTTATGTTCATTAAGGTGATACTCGGGTTCGTAGTGTTTGTGTTTTTCATGTTCTTTTTTATAGTTTTTCTCTTCATAGTGACTTTCGGGCTCATGGTGCTCATGTTTATCTTCGGAGTGAGGGTCTGGTTCGTAATGAACAATTACATGATGTTCTGATTCAGGCACATGATGCATTTCTTCTTTATGATGATCTTTATGATGTTTGTGATCGTTGTGATGAACATGATAAATAGGCTCAGAATATTCAACGTAGGCGTTTAATCTGAAAAAAATTATAAACATTTATAAAGCTAACTGTTACCTATTACCATTAAATCATTTGAAAATTATTTTACTTATTGTTGTTTAAATTTTACAAATGTTATAATACTAACTATACGGAAAATGAGGAAAAGCGATAGGATATTTGTATTGTTTATTTAGTTTCTTATAATGTATTTTATTTCTTATAACAGTCATTATGTTTTTTGTTTCTTATAACAGTCATTAAACTTACTTTCTTTTATAAATTTTAAATGAAATTGTAATTTATTAATTCGACACAATAATATGCATACTTCATCATCATTACAGCCCTTCACAAGTCCACTGCTGAACATGGGCCTCCCCCAAGTAATGCCACAAAGCACGGTCCTGAGCCACCTGCATCCATCGACTTCCTGCATATCTTACCAGGTCGTCACTCCATCTAGTGGGGGGGGGGGGTCGCCCTACACTACGCCTACCGGTATGAGGCTGCCACTCGAGATGCATACTTAGTACAACGTAATTACGTTGTTTCATAAACACATTAATTGTTATAGCTGAATAATGCCTAAATAAATAGTAAAAACGGTTTGTTTAAATTACCCGCTGTGTTCATCGGCGTGATACTTGACGGTGCGTTTACGACCATCGGGTTGTATGAGCCAGTACATCCCCTTCACTTCATCGCCATCTCTAGCTTCGTGATGACCTTTATGATCATGAGTATGGGGATCATCAACTTGGTATGAGAACTCATATAACGGATAGGACCACGCCTAGAAGCAACACATTATTAGTTATATAAAAGTCAAGTTTGATGTCAAACAATCATGTGTACCTAGTTAGTAGTAACAACTATATCTATAAGAATCAAAATGCAGTTACGGTTTAAATAGTGCTGCCAACGCCATCTACTGGCGTGTTTCCCGTTGTCCTCTTACGAAACACATTGGACAATATGTGGTAGCAGATATTCTAACAACGCCGCTACACGGAACGTTTCCTTTAGCTTTAACTACTATAATATACCTACGTATTCCTTATGATGCTCAGGAGTATGAGATCCAACGTGTGAAAGTTCTCCGTGGTGACCATAATGTTCGTTTATATAGTATTCATGTTTGTGATTGTTTTCACCATCATACTCATGCTCGTGATGCTTATGACCCTGCTCATGGTGCTCTGGTTGCTTATGTTCATGAAGGTGATACTCTGGTTCATAGTGTTTGTGCTTTTCATGTTCGTTTTCATAGCTTTTCTCTTCATAGTGACTTTCTGGTTCATGGTGCTCATGTTTATCTTCGGAGTGAGGTTCGGGTTTGTAATGTACAATTTCACGATATTCTGATTCAGGTACATGATGCAGTTCTTCTTTATGATGATCGTTATGATGTTTGTGATCCTTGTGATGAACATGATAAATAGGTTCAGAATATTCAACGTGCGTGTTAAATCTGAAAAAAATTAAAAACATTTGTAAAGCTAACTATTAGATACATGTTACCGTCACAGCGTTTTGAGTTTTGTTTTATGTTTTATTGTTATTAATTTTTTTAAATGTTATACTAAATATACGGGAAATGAGGATAACGACTGGTTTATATGCTGTTCATATGTATTAATGAGACACAATAATATGCAATAAAAAGTAAAATAAGTAAAAATGTAGTAAGTAAAATAGTAAAAATGAGTAAGTAAGAGTAAGTAAAAATGATTCGTTTGAATTACCCACTGTGCTCGTCAGCGTGATACCTGACAGTGCGCTTACGGCCATCGGGTTGTACGAGCCAGTACATTCCTTTTATTTCATCACCATGTCTAGCCTCATGATGACCTTTATGATCATGAGTATAGGGATCATTAACTTCGTATGAAAACTCATATGACGGATACGCCCACGCCTAGAAGGAACAAATTTTTGGTTATTTTGCTAGTATAATCTAAATCCAAGGTTTTCCTATTTCTAATGACAATTAGGAAATCAATATAAGTATGGGGTATAAAGGAGAATAAATTAATTTTTCTACAAATTATCCTCACCTCGTGGATGGTGAAATTTTAATTCAAAATCTGAACCGAAAGGGGACAATCATTTTTGGGCCCACTAAAAATATTAACGTCCACTAATGGTATTACATCAAAAAAAAGACACCAAATTATAATAGTAAATGGCCTACAGATTTTTCGAAAATGTAAACGGAATCAAGAAATACGAAAAAAAATTAGTTGTTTTGATATTCGTGTTCTGATTAGTGTAATATGGGTAAAATGCGTGTACCTAATTAGTCATTTTGCAGCTTGTATAAAAAGAAAACTATTTTTTCACAAAGCTGACTTAAAAAAAGATACCACTAAGAACTTTATGTTTAATTTCTAAAAATTTTAGCTAATATCACGTTATAACATAGTTCTAAATGACTGTGAACCAAAACGTTATTTTATCATTGACTTCCGGTAATTCCCAGCGGCCGGCGGCCGGGTACGGCGGGGCGGGGCGGCGGGGTATTACCTACGTCTTTAATCTTAACGGCATTGACGTTCGTTACGCTACTGTTTTTTTGTATTTATATGCGATTTTAAGAAAATGGAATCTGCTAGATCAGCATACAATGAAAATAGAAGTGTATGTTGCAATTGTGGAGTCAGGTTTCAACGCAGTGTGCGAAGACAATTACTGGCCGAGACAACTGCTGATGTGCGCCAACTTTTATCTGTGTGGATTTCTCATGAGGTAGGTATAATATTATCTCATGGAAAGCTAATCACTGCACTATACAATCTATCTACTTACATATTATCTAGATTTAAACTTTTATGAGAAATATATATTATTTTTGTTACTCTCGATTTTATTCCAACAATATTACTATACTGCGGAAACGAAAATTATATATTTTCTTTATTAATGTATTACTTAATATTTTTATTTTTGTTGAATAATATGGGATATGGTACGATTTTTTTAGAAATAATACGAAAGAAAACGATCCACAGACTCCAGGCACACATAACGATCTATACATGATTAAGTACTTAATTATTTTAAGTTTTTAAAAGTAATAATAAATATCCCGTCATATTATTAATAAATTCATACCTTCTATAGCTATAATTTTAATCTTTCGTTATATTAAATTGATAAATGATATATTATATTGATTGAATTATTTTATATTTTGACACAAGATGACACTGCATTCTTTCCTGCTATTTACCAACTTACAGGCATAGTTCTTTGCATTGACTCCATTGACTGGCATTGACTGTAAAAATATAATATGGCATAAACTTGTTTGTTTAAATTGATGTAAACTGTGTTCGTGTTAAAGTAAAAGTTTAAAAATGAAAATTCACGTAGTTTTACTGCTTACAAGTGGATTAGTATGTTAATGTCTAATTGATGCAAAAAATGTTTAACCTAAGGGTTATATCATGCACGTAAGTCAAATATTAAATACCTATATCACATTTATGTATATAATTTGCCAATGACATTCGAAAATGCAAACTGACGAGTAAAAGTCCATGTGAGTAATATAAAAGTTTATTTTTTCCTCCTAGAATTTTGTAAAATCTATAACTTATACTGAATTAACCTTTAACAAATGATAAACACAGGTCTTACTAATGTGTTAAATGTTAAAGTATTGAAGTTTTATGTTATTAGTGAAATCTAATTTAAATAATAGATAAAATAAAGTCACACAATATACACAAAAGAAGTTTTTGTGGCATGGTATGATGTATCACATGTTATGTGTGTCTAATTATCTTTTGTCAGTCAATCAGAAATCAAAGTCGAAAAAGTATAGGTATATATGTGTCAATATTTATTCTAAGGATAAAATATTATGTAAATAGAAAAGTAAGTTATTTTGTGCAATGAAAAATATTTCAATCCACTGTAATATTACCGTTACAGCCAATTAAACTCCACTGCCGAACATAGGCCTCCCCCCATATATTACTAATATTACACAACTCCATAATACTCTAATATTATAAAGTTTATTTATCACTATATGATATACCTGAAATACTGTAAATATTGTAAAATCATAATATATTAATCGATATTTGTCTTTTGGATTTCCAATTTTTTTTTTAATTGAAAATGTATTGTATTTCAAATAATATAGGGTTCCACATCAAACATTCACTTTCATGCCAACTTCGCTTCCCTCCTCAAAATGTACATTTATCTGAACTTAATATTTATTTACTCTTTTATTTTTAATTCCTGATTTTTTCAGTTACACCCACTTGATGCAGTTTGTTGTAACTGCCTAAGAATATTGCAAGAAAGTGTTGCATCAGCTCACTCCATTAGAAGATTTGGGTACAGGAATATTTGTATTCCATGTGGATCTTCAATGTTAAGAGCACACCGTAGACGGATTGTGCCTATTAACTCTGAAGAAAGAGATATTATTTTGCAGTGGATACCATCACACCAGGTACTTACCTTATTTTAAAAGGCTGTAAATGGTCCCCTGCCTCAAATAGGCAGCCCAGAGGATTTGCCACAATCGCTTTGGTACACAGATTGATGTTTGTAAAATCAGACACCTTGCATACAATTTGGTCTGATATTTATGCTCATTCAACATGGCAGTTCACTAACAGGTTATCTTTAAATTTACAGTCTACCAAAAGTCTACTGCTGAACATAGATTGTCTTATGGGGGGATATTTGCCATTAATAACCAATTTTTTTATTTTTAGTTATTAGATGAACGATACTTCTTCCTTATCTTACACCCATATTTGTATGCTTTTGTACTTATTATACAAGTAATATTTTTTACCTTAAAAGACATTAGTATAAATAAAACGGGTTGGGTTTACAATTCGGTCGCCTCAATTTGAAGATTCTGTTACTGTGGGGGCGTCAAGGGAGTTTATCTGAAGCACCTACACGCGAGTTTTGCTACCGGAGCAGCATCGAAGTATTTTTATTTATTTTTTGAAAATATTGGTAAACAACTAATTAATTAAATATTCTCACGTTTTTGACGTTTTATCTGTCAATGTCATATCGATATATAGTACTAAATCGATCTAGTGAATCGATATTTCACCCTAGAGAATCAAGATCAAATCTTTTCTGTTTTGTTAAGATTTACAAAATTATTTATAATTAGTTGAAAGTACCCCAACTCGTAAAGAATGACAGTTTTTCAATTTAATCATTCAATGTTATCTGAAACTTTTAACAGTGGTAGAGCCACGCGGCAGCTTTGCTGTTGCACGTATGGGCCGGCTCAAACCGGGGTGGTACCACGACCTCACAGAATACCGGCGTGAAGTGGAAGCACTGCTTCCGCGTTTCGTCTGGTGAGTGCAGGTGGCCGGAGGCCCAAATCCCCCCCCCATCAACATGGTAGCGGAATTAAATAATGATCGACTACCCCAGGAGGGTACCAGCACCCCTGGAGAATCCCTCGCTGAGCATCCACGACCATGTTTCTCCACTTCTGAGCGTGGGTGCTCAGGCTGCCCCGCGTATTCTGGGGGGGGGGCAAAATTCCGCTCAAGACTACAACTGCTCGGGGCAAACGGAGCAACAAGACCAAGGCGACCCCTGCCACGCTGTCCGTGAATTTCTGCAATATCAGGGGGACTTCACTCTAACCTAAACGCCGTCCACTACCATCTCGAGACGGCGAGGCCGGCTCTGCTCTTTCTGACCGAGACGCAGGTGTCCTCTCCGGCTGATGTCTCGTATCTCTCCTACCCGGGGTACAAACTGGAACACTCCTTTGTGCCTCGGGCTGGAGTTTGCGTTTACGTCAGAGAGGACATCTGCTCTCGACGCCTCGGCAGACTTGAAGGTTCGGACCTGTCCATCCTTTGGCTACGCGTAGACAGCGACGACCATCCGCGCGTCTACGGGTGCCTCTATAGGTCCCATAGCGGTAATGCCGAAACAGACCGACTATTCGACCACGTCCAAATGGCTGCAGATTCGTTGCTACAGCAGATCCCCTCCGCAGAGATCGTGATCCTCGGCGACTTTAACGCCCATCACGCCGAATGGCTTGGTTCACGTTTAACCGATCATGCGGGGAGATCTGTTCATGATTTTGCCTTGGCATATGGTCTGACACAATTGGTTACTTCGCCTACGCGGATTCCAGATGTGGAGGATCATGCACCTTCCCTGTTGGACCTTCTGCTGACCTCTCACCCGGACGGATATCAGATATCCGTCGACGCCCCTTTAGGCTCCTCGGACCATTGTCTTGTCCGGAGTGTGGTGCCACTCACGCTGAAATCGCGGTTGCATTCTGCAGGCTGCCGCCGTGTTTGGCACTATAGGTCAGCCGATTGGGATGGGATGCGGTCTTTCTTTGCATCCTACCCTTGGGGGGCGGGTTTGCTTCTCGCCGGATGATCCCAACGTTGTTGCGGATTCTGTCGCTGATGTGGTACTTCAGGGTATGGAACTTTTTATTCCTTCTTCTGTGGTGCCCATTGGAGGCAGATCTCAGCCATGGTTTGGTCGCTCCTGTAAAATAGCATCATGCTATAAGCAGGAGTGTTACCAAGCCTGGGCTGATGCATCAGCGTCCCGGGATGTAAACACCAGCGCTCTAAAAAAGAAGTATAATTCCGCCTCTAGGTCCTTCAAAAGAGTCATTGCCAAGGCAAAGTCAGAGCACATAGGCAGAATTGGCGAGAAACTAGTTCGCCTTCCTTCTGGAACCCGTGCATTCTGGTCTCTCGCCAAGGCTGTCCAGGGGAATTTCTGTCAGCCATCTCTTCCATCTCTGCACAGGGAGGACGACTCACTGGCCCATACCGCAAAGGAGAAAGCCGATCTTCTAGGCTCTTTCTTTGCGTCTAACTCGACTCTCGATGACGGGGGGAGTACTCCGCCGACCATCCCGCGGTGTGA